ACACCACATCACAAACACATACAGGCGCAGTGAAATCGCGTTGATCACACAGTCAACTCGTGTGCGGTGACTTTTATAGTTAAACTATTTTTCGGTACCGTGAAAATGACGCCACGGAAATGAAACGCTACCGCTAACGATTGTTCCTGTGAAATCCTCAGGCTTGCCGTAGTTTTTTTTTTTTGTTTGTTTGTTTTGACTGAGAAATTTCCTTGCGTCCCAAAAACGCACATTGTTTGGAACTGTGCGTCCTGTGGGTTAATTTTGCGTCTCGGACGCGGGACGCGGAGGTAACGAGATGGCTGATCTCTAAACATTCTCTGAGTACTACTATTATTACCACTCCCACTAATACTACATTAATTAGTTTAATACCTTCAACTTCACAATAATAATAAAAAATAATTAAATCAACCATGATTTTAAACTATGTATTATCAATATTCATTATTCCAAACATGAGAAAGCATTCACCAAAAACATAACTGGAATCGAGCAAAAGGACTCCAAATCCCAACGGCCAAACCCGGAAGTGAAGTGCCGGCATTATTGACTCCAGCTGTAACGCAAATTACTTGGTTCAAACAAACATTATAGTGCCACCGCACAAACGTGACGACTGTGCAAAAATAACTACATAAAAGACACCACTGTTACAGAAAGACTTTACACGCTATTTAAACTGCCGATCGCGAACGGAACAAACCGTGATTGAAACTAACTGTGAGGCCGCTCTTTATTCGTTTCGCTAACTGTCGCCTGTCAGTGGCAGACCCGCCCCTTTTAAAGCGCCAGCTTAATCCATCAATATGCGTTTAGCTGGATGGAATTTATTTGTTTCATTCGTGGTTTTTGCGATCCTCTGTCCCACTTAATACCTGTGGACATCGAGGCTCTAATCCCTCATTGTGTCCGAGGACCGGCAACCCGAGGCCAAGGCCAAGGACTTGACTCCCAAGGCCGAGGCCAAGGCCAAGGAATTGACTCTCAAGGCCAAGGCCAAGGACCAAGGACCGACCTTCGGTCCTCGAGCCGGTCCTCGAGGCCAAGGACCGGCTCGAGGAACACATCCCTGTGTACTATATGATACGATACAGGTTTTATATGTAAAAGTTGGAACCCAGAATAACAATTGCCAGTGAACCACATATTTCAAAATTCAGTCAAGTTTGTTTAAGCAACAGATATGAGTAGTTAATCGGTGTGTCTCCGTGTAACATTTTTGTTAAGCTATCAACTAAAGGGGACATATGATGCTTTTTTTCCCCTCAATTTAAAACAGTTCACATACATGTCTCTCTGACATGCATTTGACAAAATAACCCAAGAAACATGAATTGTATTACACTTTGCACGTCCTCGATTTTCTTATCTTACTGAAATAGCATAAGGCAATCTGTTATATGCTCGTGAGTCAGCACTCAACCCGTCTGGGCCAGTGGTGAATAGGAATTTCCTTAGCATGACAACAAAATGGAGAGCTAGCTATGGCTCATCTTTGAACCCTGAATCTAAAAAAGTGACTGCAAGACACGTACGCACGCACACACACACACACACACACACTCTTCTGTTTTTTTTTTTTTTCTTAACCAAAGGTCCATTTTCCATATGTAAATTACTTCTACATGATAGCTCCCAAGATCGTGACCTTGCCCTGTGTTCGACCTCCCCAACTCTCAGGATGGCGTGCAGGTGACAGAGAGTGGCAAATTCCACATCAGCCCTGATGGGTATTTAGAAGTCAAGGATGTGGGTACTGCTGATGCTGGCCGCTACGAATGTGTCGCCCGCAATCCTATTGGCTATGAGGTCGCTAGCATGGTGCTAACTGTCACAGGTAAGCGGATGGTGAGTTTTTGTTTTTTTGGGAACTGGAGCTAAATGGAAATATTATTTTTCATTCATCTTTACACTTCTGCTATGACAATAGTAAATGAAAGATACTGTATTACAGTGGTGCATTGATGAAGTTCATCCCTGCGGTTCAAACTGAAGCAGAAAATACTTTTTCTTTGTCGGGCAGTGCTTATTCCTGTCTTGTTATTGTAGAGTCCACAGAGTGAGACGCCCAAGTGGGAATGTGTTAGTCACACTCATGCAGTGATATCAGATGGCTGTCAGCTCTTCTCTTTTTACTGGGATATCTCAGCACTCTGCTGATGTCTCATAAACTGTTCAAAAGTGTTCTGCTTTTGTGATTATCTGATCATATGTGGAGCAATAGGGTCACAATGAAAAAAGACTGATACAGTGATCCCTCGCTATTTCGCGGTTCGTTTATCGCGGCTTCAGTGCATCACGGATTTTTTCAAACAATTTTTTTTTTTTTTTTTAATATACATGGAGTACAGTACTGTATATGTTGCTCTATGTGACTCGCTGTTGTTTTACAGCTTCTCGCGGACCGTTTGAGGACTTTTTGTGGACTTAAATTTTTATTTATTTATTTATTTTATTACCTGTACAGTAATCCCTCGTTTATCGCGGTTAATGGGGACCAAAACCACCCGTGATAAACGAAAATCCGCGAAGTAGCGTCCAATTAACATAAACAGGTCAAAACTCTGCACTCCATATACAGTACTGTACTGAACTTTTTAAAAAAAAATTTTTATATGTTTGAAAAAATCCGCGATACACTGAACCCGCGATAAACGAACCGCGAAGTAGCGAGGGATCACTGTATATGTTAATTGGTCGCTACTTCGCGGATTTGCGTTTATCACGGGTGGTTTTGGTACCCATTAACAGCGATAACAGGGTTCGTACGGGTCCTTAAAGTTCATAAAAATCAATAAAAAAAGAAGTTGTAAAATTATGTTCTTAATTGTCCATAATTTTCAGGGAAATCTTCTAAAATCCATAAAAATTAACCTGTGGTGTTCATTTCATTTATGTTCCAATTCATAGTTTTGTCGGAAAATGCAGGACCTGGTACCCGCTCTGCTTTTTGCGCCGTCTCCAATTAGTTCCGACGATGATCACGTGATCACTTCGGGTCATTCCGGGTAAACAACAATAGATTGACGCCATCCTGGGGCAGTGAATGGATGGCTTGGTTGCCGGCTCGGCAAACAATTACCGTATTTTCTGGAAAAATCTATTCATCGAATTTATCGATCTCAACAAGTGACAGACAAATATGTAGCGACGCCACTCGAGCGAAGCGCGCCTCAGCAGTCGATAGTCCGCTGCTCTCTGCTGTGTGTGCGTCAGCTAAGCTTAGTTGTTCTCTCGGCTAGGCTAGCTTTTTGTTGTCGTAGATCAACGTGTATTTGATTTGTGACGTCAGTTGCTTGGTTGAAACCAAAAGACGTGCGCGTGCGTACATGTTCGGGCGGACGCACACACAGCAGAGAGCAGCGGACTTTCGACTGCTGAGGCGCGCTTCGCTCAAGTGGCGTCACTACAAATATTCCGGGACAATGCTATTTTCAAGTGGCGTGGCTGGAGAAGGCGGAGGTCCGTGTTTTGGG